AAACTAAGCAGGCTGGAAAACAAAAACACTTAAAAGGTAGATAAAATAAATTACCTTGGGGTCATTACAGACTCTAAACTCACTTTTCAGGATCATATTGGACCCACTGGGAGGAAAGCAGAATAAAAAAAACGTTATTTCTCTACAGCGATAAACATTGAGTACTGGCTTAGCATCGGTTACAATTGGTAAGGGATACCTTACAACTATTATCTGTTGTGCATCAATCAGCCTTCAATAAAACACCGAATAAGCTAATTCTCACATCATTCCGCTCTTATATTTGCTCTAGATGCCCCTCATGAGACCCATCATTGTGACTTGTACAGGAAAACTAAATTACTATCACTCCACGATCGCCGAACGATGCACCATGCCTTGTAATTCGGCAGACCTAACCTGAGGAGTTCATGACTCCTTCTCTTGAACGTTCCCAGACATGAAGCAAGTTTTGGTGAACGGGCATTTATGGGGGCTGCCCCTGGTCTGTGGAACAATATTGTCACAAAACTTGGGCTACAATCATTGCCATCGATCACGAACTTTAACTCGCTACTCTCATATGAATTCGTGCCCAGCTGGCAACGTGTAAAGATTTGAAGCTTTCGTGACTGCAAGGATCCATACTCCTTGTTTTTTTCAGTCAAGTCACGTAGGTTAAAATAGAAAAAACAAATAAATTAAATCACGACGTTTCGGAGGCAACACAAGCTTCCGTCTTCAGGTGGAACCATCACAGCAAAATTACTGTATCAAGTGAAGAGAGCTCTAAGAGACGAGACCTTATATACTGGTTAAGGGGAGGAGGGAGGAGCCAGGATGGGCCGTGGGGTTCCACCTGAAGACGGAAGATTGTGTTGCCTCCGAAACGTCGTGATTTAATTTATTAGTTTTCTCGTTTTTTAACATACGTGACTTTACCGAAAAAAAACAAAGAGTAAGACCGTATAAAGAGTTAACACTTACTAGCCATGAACAATGTAGTTTGTGTTACACAGTGTAATCCGTGTTTAACTTACTTTTTCTTCAAAAAAGTGAATTGCATAGTGGCGATTATGATTTGCTGTCTATTTTTTGTTTCGTGTATCTATTATTGTGTTTGATTAATTTATTTTACTGGGACTTGTCGCTACGTCGGGGAAGCAGTGTAGTTGTTTGTGTTGATTAAACCCAATTAAGAGCTTATTGGCTCACAGGGTAAAAAAAATGATCTGAAACTGAACTGAAACTGATTCTAACTACAGCAACAAAAGGCCTTTGATAATCGTCAACTCTAGCTAATGTCTTACGGTTAGTCATCAATTATAAAAAAAAATGTCATGTTTTTATTTGGCTCCTCCAAACCTAGTTTATCTTCTTTTGCAAATTGTGTCTCTTGACTCGCATCGCATGGAACAGGTCGATAACAATGATCTAACTTAAAACTGTTCTTCAAGCACCACATCAATCATATATGTATATATTTTCAATATGGCTATAAGTTGGATTCCTCTAGATCAGGGGTCCTCAAACTACGGCCCGCGGGCCACATGCGGCCCGCCGAGGACATTTATCCGGCCCGCCGGGTGTTTTTGCCGCCGCTGCCTGTCTGTTACTTTTTTTCTACATGAGAAGGACGGTCATTGGTGGAAGAGGGAGAGGGGGCGGAGTTCCCCCAATCAGACTGCATTGATGGGCAGTGCAGTCTGTATGTCTCTGTGTGGGCAAAGTTATTGCTGGTATATTGTTTTTGTAGCACTATATATATTGGTATTTTACTAATAGCAATTTTGACTCTCTAGGAAACAATGATGTCAAGAAAGAGAAAAATTGACTCGGAGTGTAGGATATTCAAATAACAGTGGACTTATGATTACTTCTTCATGCAGTACAAGGAAAGAGCTGTGTGTCTGATATGCCAGAATATAGTGTCTGTGTTCAAAGAATACAATTTACGTCGACACTATGAAACTCAACATAAAGATAAATATGATTGTTTGGTCGGAGAAGTGAGAAAAGATAAAATATTAAAACTGAAAAATACATTAACAACTCAGTAAAATACTTTTGTGAAGCAGAAGCAGATAAATATTTCATCACTGCGAGCAAGTTTTCAAGTTGCCAAGCTAATAGCGTACACTGGCAGACCATTCGTGGAGGGAGAATTTATTAAAGAATGCCTTCTTTCTGTTGCCAAAGAGATGTGTCCAGAGAAGGCCGATTTATTTAGTACAGTGAGTCTTTCAGGACCTACAATTACACGGAGGATTGAAGAAATGGGAGACAATTTGCATCAGCATTTGCAAAACTCCACAAAAAAACTTTCCTATTTTTCCTTGGCACTCGACGAAAGCAATAATGTTCGTGATTCTGCACAACTTCTAATTTTTATTCGTGGGACGAATGACTATTTCGAAGTCACAGAAGAGCTTGCTGCACTGCAAAGCATCAAAGGAACATCTACAGGAGAGGATATCTTTCGATTTAAAGCTTTCGTGACTGCAGGGATTCATCTTCTTGGTTCTTTCGGTAAAGTCACATAGAAGGGAAATAATAAAATAATAAAACATAATAAAATAATTCTCACGACGTTTCGGCCACAACACAAGCAGCCGTCCTCAGGTGAAAACCAGGTCTGTCGGGGAGACAGCGTCTGAATGAAACAGCACACGAGCTTGGAGCATATATAAGCTGGGTTGGAAACGGGGGAAAGAGCGCCTTGACAAAAGAATTTGAATATCAAGAGGAATTTAGCATATTTATGGGAAATGCAGGAATGTGATTAGTACTACATATGCCCGTGCTGCATATGTAGTACTAATAACATTCCTGCATTTCCCATAAATATGCTAAATTCCTCTTGATATGCAAATTCTTTTGTCAAGGCGCTCTTTCCCCCGTTTCCAACCCAGCTTATATATGCTCCAAGCTCGTGTGCTGTTTCATTCAGACGCTGTCTCCCCGACAGACCTGGTTTTCACCAGAGGACGGCTGCTTGCGTTGTGGCCGAAACGTCGTGAGAATTATTTTATTATGTTTTATTTTGATTATTTTATTACTTCCCTTCTACGTGACTTTACCGAAAGAACCAAGAAGAGAGGATATCTATGAAAAGGTTTGCCAAACTGTGAATGGTTTGGAGCTGAACTGGGCTAAACTAGCCAGTGTGACAACTGATGGTGCTCCTAGCATGGTGGGGTCTAAGAAAGGAGTAATTGCTAGCATTAACCAAGAGATGGAATAACATAACCATTCTCATCCAATAGCCATACATTGCCTCATCCACCAACAAGCGCTGTGTAGTAAATCACTGAAGTGGGACTCTGTTATGAAAATTGTGGTATCTTGTGTTAACTTCATTTCTGTCTGAGCTAAATGTTGACTATGAAGATGTTTTGTATCACACAGAAGTCCGTTGGCTGAGTCGAGGGAGAGTTTTGAAACGTTTCTATGACTTACTTCCACAGATTACAGCTTTTCTGCTTTAAAAAAACAAAGAAGTACCAGAGCTCAATGATGCAGAATAAAAATGGCACATTGCCTTTCTGACAGATGTAACAGAGCTACTCAACAGTTTCAATGTGCAACTTCAAGGAAAGGGGAAGCTCATCTGTGATATGCAATCACATGTCAAAGCATTTGAAGTAAAATTAGGCCTCCTCATCAAACAAGTGAAGGAGGAAAACTTCTGCCATCTCCCCACAACTCAAAATCTGTTAGCGGAAAAACCATTGGTTGCATTCCCAAACAAAACATGTGTGGATTCACTGGAAAAATTGCAAAAGGAGTTCCAATTTGGATTTAAAGAGCTTCATCTCCATGAACAGGACATACAGCTTTTCCGTAATCCATTTTCTATTGACATTGAAAATGTGGATACAATTTACCAAATGGAACTGGCTGAACTGCAGAATTGTGACTCTCTGAAAGACGCATTCATGTCAAGCAGCCTTCATAATTTCTATGCATCTCTCCCCTCTGAGACATATCCTCATCTCAGGAACCATGCACTCAAAATGGCAACCATCTTTGGCAGCACTTATGTCTGTGAACAGACTTTTTCCAGAATTAAACATTTGAAATCTCCAACCAGATCTAGACTAACGGATACACACTTGCATCACTTGTTACGACTAGCAGTGACAAATATGGAACCGGACATTGACTATCTCATTAGCCAAAAGCAGGCCCATAGTTCCCATTGAAATACTGGCAAGTTTGTTGATTTAACTTTACTTGTTCTTCATTTTAAATATTGTATTTGTACCCGTTTTGTTTCTTCACTTCAAAATAAGATATATGCAGTGTGCATAGGAATTTGTTCATAGTTTTTTTTAACTATAGTCCGGCCCTCCAACGGTCTGAGGGACAGTGAACTGGCCCCCTGTTTAAAAAGTTTGAGGACCCCTGCTCTAGATCAATAAGCACCGTATCCCACCTCTGCTCCATCTTGCGATAGCCAAAGCCACCATCCTTCCCATCTTTGACTTGCAACGTCATCTATCACATAACCTCTAAAACAGCACTCTGCCCTCTGCGTTGACCTTGACGTCCCCTATCGAACGCATTATTGCCACCTTTATAACACCTCCAATGGGCCTTCTACATCCCATACGTCGTTTAAAACAAATTCCCCAAACATTTAATGGACATCTTCTGCGTTGACCACAATACCTGTGGTCAGAATGCAAACAAAAAACGAACTCTGATAATATATTGATTGTACTTGAAACTGTTTTTCCACACCAGAGACAAACTCCCCACTGTTTATCCATTTAAAGACACAGCACTGTCGGTACATGTAGCAATATTATCAGATCGAATCCAATGCTCGACAAGGCCACATCCGAGTACAGTGCGCTCACCACCGCACCATTGAAGAATGCCACGTCGCAGGTCATCGGTGTGGAATTCATGAGACGCAGGAACAGGTGAGACTGGTAGACCAATAGAAAGTTCCACATCTCGATCAGGGTGGGTCCCACGTGACCTCTACCCGGCAGTTTTAGTCGCTACGACACAGGGAGTCGACAGCATCTTCCCGTGCGATGCGGTGACGTGCGGGTAGCACCCGCCTCTTCTTCCAAGACATCTGAGCAGCGTGGAAGAGTAGACCAAACACCCTCCCTCTCGAGAGGGGCTCTCTGGAGCGCCCTCTGGTGGAGAGGCCTCTTTCACTAGAGGGATGTCTGTATCTTTTCCTTCAGGAGAGGAGAGTCAGGTAAAGGCACTACGACCACTACCACTTCCACCATCATCACCAATACTGCCACGATCATAATAATTACAAACACCACCATCATCATCGAGTTCGGAGGGTTCAGTGTTAATCACTGAGGTTCATGGAGGCCGATTAATCTCCCCAAAGGGTTCAGTGTGAATCACTGAGACTCACAGATCCAGACTAAGGCTCCCATAGGGTTTAGTGTTAATCGCAGGCTAAGGCTTGACTGAAATCCCCAGGTAGTTGTTGACAATAGAAATATCACCTCCAAAGTTGACCTCATGCTGATTACGTTAACACTGTTGATATGATATCCATGCAGTGCATAACGCGTTGTGTTCACCTTCTTACAGGCGCTGCAAAGAGCTGCTGACATCGCCGAGTCTCCACTCCCAGTGAGTAACAACGCTGCTTGTCTATCCACTGCTGGATCGCTCTCCTCACATTCAGAATCATAGCAAAGCTCTAGAGATGTAGGCGCCTGTAGGAGGCTGTCATCCAGCAGTGGATTAGCCGTGGCTCTAAATGATTATGGGTGCGCAATGACCCAGACCTCCCACAATAGAGTCAGCCACTCTGTAATGTCAGTAAATCTCTTCCTGTATGACGAAACGTACGCTTAAGGAAATGTCAAACAGTGTAGGGGCCAAAGGGCTCCTCTGTTACACCCCAACGTGAACGTGAAATGTCTCTGACTACTGGCCACGTCGCTTACCTGGACCTACCCACCATCGTGAAGGTCTTTAACGATTGTAATCAGAGGTGTTGTGACCAAACAACGAGGCTTAAATTACGAAGATGACGACGGTGGCAATTGGCACGTGGACAGAAGAGAGAGATGGCTCTGTGCCTGTTCACCACCGCCATCGCAGTGCAACTAAAATATTCGTTTATAAGAAGATGCCGGTTCCTTATGCAAAAGTGGAGCATACATCCCTTTCTTGTCTGGGACTTCGATATGGAAGGGTGGTTGGGGGAGGATGGTGAGGGAGCAGAGGTCTCACTTGGAATCATTCGGGCAGAATTATTATATTACCTCTCCCAACTGAAGACGATTGCTTGTATGGCGTTCGAAACGTCGTGATCTATTATTATTTTGACCACCTAAGTGACTTTACCGAAAGAACCAAAGAGTATGGATTCCTGCAGTCACGAAAGCTTCAAATCAAGACAGCATTATGTTGTTTCTTGTTATTGGCCTTGTAACGCTGTGTGGAAGCTACCTGGCCATGTTGATCTTCTCGGCCAGAGCCATGCGCTCAGTCAATTTGTGACACCTGGGTCAGTCGCGTGACCTGCCAGCGAGCTGTCGACACTTCGCTTAGCCTAATAGAGTACCTAGCCTGGCACAAGCACTGTCGTGATGTCACCAACACTCAGTGGCAAATTAAGGTTGTATTATGCACTACACTTATCCTTTACGTGGCAGCAAATGTTTTTTTTAATTGATTTTCATTGAAATTGTTGCTAGCTGGGCATTTCAGCAAGTTGGCCCCGGGCTCCGCTATTGGTCGAGATAGCCAGGGTTTCAATGTATTTTATTCTGAGTTTTTTTAAAGTAAATATTCGAGCGGGAGTGGTGGCCCAGGGGTTAGCATACTGTGATTTAAACCCATTTGTACATCGTATCTGAGGCTAGAATTTTAGGCTTGTCTTCACTGTCCTCCGCTGGCAATGATTCATTCATGATCGTGGGTAGGCCCGGGTAGAGCTGTGGCCAACAGGCAGAGCCATCCCTTGTTCACCTTCGGGTGCAACCAGGATGTCCCCTGGCCCTACATTATGTAACATCTGCTATGGCGACGTAGTATGTGCAGGTGTCCATGGCTTTAGCAGAGGAACTTTCATCTAGATTTGAAGTTTTCGTGACTGCAGGGATCCATACTCTTTGGTTCTTTCGGTAAAGTCACGTGGGTATAAAATAAAAAAAATTAAATCACGACGTTTCGAGCGCAACACTAGTGCCCGTCATCAGGTGGGACAACCAATTGTTTCTTGCTGTGGTTGTCCCACCTGATGATGATTGCTTGTGTTGCAATCGAAACGTCGTGATTTATTTTGTTTTATACCTTCGTGACTTTACCGAAATAACCAAAGAGTATGAACTTCCATCTGGTACACATTCAAAGGGAGGCTGACCGATGTCTTGGTCTGGTCATGCACACACTTTATGCTTTTCTAGGCAATGGGGGACACAGCAGCCCCTTGCCTTGACGTGCCTGCACTTGGCAGCTGTGATTATAGAACCCACTTCTATGTCTGACGAGTTTTTAGTCTGAAAGAGGAAGTGGTTTTGTTGTGAACATGATAATCATTATAATAACGCGCCTATCCCCAGGCAATGTCTGGAGATGAAGACGAGGAGCGCTCAAGCCAGGCTCGAGATGAACTTGCACGAAAGCTCAGAGACGTGGGTCTTGACGAGGTTTACTGGAAACAGAAACTGCGCGAGGTTCTGCTAATTTCTAGTGCACAGGCGCTGCTTCACCTCGACCGTCAGGAATGCAAAGAACTGGACTCGCATTTCCGTAAATCGTGGGAAAAGCGGGCGTTTTATGCAATGGTTGGCTTTGATGCTGTTCGTGATGAAGAGGTAATGAGCTTGGTTCCACATACACAAAATGAGAATATGTTGCCTTCTGTCGTGTCTGATAAAATGAATGAGCAAGCCCAAGCAACGGGAAATTATGTGTCAAGCCATTGTGTGTCAGATGAGATTTTACAAAATGCCTCTGGGGGGCTTGCTCTAGAGGGAGTGTACATGGGTGGGAAGTTGGAGGATATATTAGAGAAGAGAGGGAAACTTCTGACAATCCCACAAACATTCCAGTTCGTGGATCCGGTCCACACACCTATGACACAACAACACGAGTTTATTTCTTTCAGTGAAGAATCCGTGTTCAAGAAGAGCATGGAAGTCATGGGCTTCAGCAGCACTGCCTCAAAGCAAGGTTGTGCCTCTACCTTGAGTAGAAAACCAATCTCAATGCAAACAAAGTCATTTAATCTTAAGGAGATGCAAAATATTCAGCCTCATCATTCCTATATTTCCAGGACAGAGTACACGTACCTGCCATTAGCCTCAGGGCATCTTCAAAGGACACAACTCAGGCTGTCTGATGCAGCCCTGAAGGAGCTACAAAATATTGAGAACACCTTGGAAAACACGAAAGAAGATTTCAAAAGCACCAGGCTAACCAGCATGATCAGAGGCTTCTTCCACAAATTCGGCTCTCACGCAAACGAGGGACCCCTCGAATTTGGAGGAATATTTTGGAGGAAGGCGTCGGCTCAAGGTTTCAGTTTAGATCAGCAAGATGAAATGAAACGTCTCTTGTCCAAGTTATTGGGATCCACCATTGGTGCTGATTGTGACAGTCGTACGACTACTGATGCGGGCGCTGCAATGACCACTGAGCCAGCTGCAAGTGGCTCTGGCCAGCGCGGCCCGGTGCTCACTGATATGGTGAAGATCACTGTGACCACAATAGGCGGTGATCCTGACGTTCATGATCTTCCTCAGTGGAAAGCTGCTGTTGTTTCCAACAATAGGACATGGTCTCTCATTGACCGAGGCAGCAGGTTTATACCAGTCTGGGACATCGTCCTGTCCAATCATAGATGTGATTTTAAAGATGTCCTGAAGGTAGCCAGTGATCTCATAACAGCTTACGCCATCTTAACAAACAAACATGCAAATAATTATGCAGATGATGCATTGGCTGCCACTATTGTCGAAGCACAATCGATCATGCAAGATGTAACGCAATGGATGAGATCAGACGATGTAACTAATCTGGAAAAACTGGTGAATTTGAAACAGAAATTCTATGAATGCACACAAACTAACAGGAGCTGGATTGACGCCTGTCTCTCCCATCCAGCCCTTCAGGAATACTTGAAGTTGGTTGTATCGACATGCAGGCTTTCATCTGGTGACGAAACGAAACGAATGAAAATGCAGTCCCTTTTAGAGCCGAACATTTATGCAGTGGAGAACTTCCCCCTGCGCTCCTCGATAATGCAGTTGGTCTATGGGACCGATACAGTCAGGGTTCATGATGCTGAGCTACAGGCCCTCGCCGACACATTTACAGAAACAAAGACACGATTAAAAGAAGTCATGGATTCACCGACTTATTCTGAATCTGCGCTGAATGATGCAAAAATGAAGGGAACCAATGACATCACATTTGCCCTCAATTCTCTTGTCGATGCCTCCGAGAAATGAAGCAGGT